TATATATATAAACTGCTTTTATTTTTCTGTTTATTTTGTTGACGGCGCATTGAATTCTGGGATACCGTCAGCCGCATAGGATATTCAGATGCAGCCGATGTTTTTGGGGTATTGTCGGCCACATTTGTAGGCACCTATGAATTGGGACAGCCTACGGCGGAGGGGGGGTAGTGATGTAAGTAGCCAACAAATGCGGCCGGCGTCGGCTGCAACCCATGAATTGAGACACAGTCAATGTCTCAGGATGATGACATCATAACTAATCTGCGCCAACAGAGGCTGCGTTCCATTCTGAAATACTTAAATTTAAACTTTGACATTTAGCTACATTTAAAATGCAACTTTTATATTTAGATTAAGAATTTAACAGTAAAAATTTGTTTAGATTAAGAACAATGAGCTAAATAACAAAACATGTTAGTTTCAACTACGCCTTTTTATATGAGCTAAATAATAAAAATGTGACAGTTTTTTACATTTTATTTTTTACATTCGAAAGTRTAAGTGTTCATATTCTCACTTTGGACATGTTTAAACTGTAAAAAGTGACAGGACTTGATAAGTCTGGTTTATCGACAGTTATTTTTTTCTTCTTTTTTTTATTACACAAACAGATGCCATGTTCCATGGCACAGACCACTGAGCTACTGCGGACAAATACGTTCTTATTTTTAAAAGTGGCATGAAGAAAGGCAGCGGGCGACAAGCATTCGTTGCAGAAAGTCTTTTTACTTGTTTCTTTTGCGTCACCTTGAAAACACAAAGTTAGGAAGCAGTCGGGGGATGAGGTGGGTGATTGTGAAACTGCCTTAAATAGAATAAAGATCACTTTAAAATAATCAAACARTAAGTGATTTAAAGCTCTGGTGTCGTTTTAGGATTCCAGTTTCATCAGGTCTGCGTGTGTTTGAACAGAGAAGGTACTTTACCWGCCCAGAGGAACTTTTTTTAGTTGTTGACACCGTGGATGTTGGCTTTCAGATCAGAACTTTCCAATGGGAGTTTGATGTTTTTGTGCAGCGGTAGTTTCATGGCCTTTAATGCCTTCACGGCCCCTCAGCTGCCTGTTATTCCCCTTCTGCTGTGGTTTAACAGWATTCACATAACGCAGCCGGTTCTGTACTCCCACTGCTCCGCCGCTCGGCTTGTTTTTTTTCCCATAAAACAATCGATTTCCAAAACAACTAAGCGAGTTTGGTTCGCTGCTGGTAAACGAATGATTATTAACCCTTAAAGGTCAAAAATGTGTCACGAGCCCCCCCTTTTTGAGTAAGAAAAGTTTTAGGCAGAGAAATATTCGTCATTGTTCCTTGAAGAAGCTGTGACTGCTGCTGGGGTACGTTTGGTCTTTTAATCTCCATCTCTTAGATTTAAGTTAATTTTAAAGAATTTTAAGACAAATTATTGATCAAACAATTATCTGATCTGCTTTTATCTCCGTTCTTCTTGAGTGTTTTGCTGTTAGTTTTAAAAACCTTTTATCTGCTGCGATCAAAAAGGGGAACTCTTTGAGCAAACAGTTCCAAACGCAAAAATGACTGATGTGATACAGAAACCTTTTTTTTTCTCTCCTAATCTGTAAAATCTGGGACTCCGGAGTTMTGGTTACACACCTGACTGCACACGTAGACCTACAAGTTTTGATGGTGAACCTGTTAAGGCAGGTCCGCTTCCGCTCCTTAACCAATCGTCTTTAACCATTTACAACGTCGAGCAGAAAACACTAAATAAAAACTGACAAATGAGGTCTTTTATGAATTGTATAAAGATAAAACTGTTTAAGGATTAAAGCTCTGTCAGATAGAGTTTCTTGTCAGATTATTTAACAAATAAAACCATAAAGGAGTTAGGAAATCACCTGGAATACAATCATGTCTACTTTATTATTATTATTTAAAGTTG